AGGAGTGTAGTTGTAAAGAATTAAAAATTTTAATCAATATTCTTGATCAAAATACATGAACTAGTAGAGTTTTCTTATTGGGGACAATTTAGTGACCTACACTAGGAGGCCACATCTTTCAATTTTTGCACGAGGCCTTTCAATCTGTAAAAGAGAGAAATCTTAACATGAAATGAGAGACCTTCGTGGGTCCCTTATAAAGGCGCTACAGAACCCTGGGGATCCTTGGACTGCAGTTTAAGTTGGTGTAGAAAGACTGATGTTCACTATATTTGTTAATGATCCAAGTAATTCCGTTGATGTGGCATAGATGTAAAGAATGAGGTTCCACCTCAAGTGTATTCCAAGTCATATGACGGTGATCTGACAGTGGCTCAAAATTACAAGGCAAAAAAGGTCCCTGCTCACATTTCCCCATTTGTTTTCAAGGATCTGATCTATTTCTACAAGTGAGAGGAGTATGACTAAGTGAAATTTTTGGTCGAGATTGGAATAAGCATTCTTTAGGGTGTAACTCAATGTAATTCCCGAATGGCCAGTAGATTTGTAAACAATTCAAAATGATGCTTAGCTTTTTATACAATCAAATTTTAATTTGCCCGACGAGTTCGTAGCTTGATTGGTAAATCGTCTGTTTCTTGCCGAGGTTAGGTTCGACCAGCGATCAACCTTTTAATCAACATTTAATTATTTTTTTAAATTAAAAATTTATTTATGTAAGGTTTATTAAATATTAAATATATTTTTGTAATTATTTTGCATTTTATAAAATAAAAAATTGCTTTGATTATATAAATAATTATATTTAAATTTTTTATAAATATATTTTATATTAATAAATAATATTTATAATAAAAATATATAATAAATATTAAATGATATTTTTAAAAAAAATTAGTTGCAAATAGTTTTATAATGGGAAATACAATATACTATAAATAAAATATTATATATAATACAAAATCAGTTATAAAATATATTATTATTATTAAATTAATTATTTTATACTCAATATAATAAAAATATGTTATATGTTATTCAATTAATTATTTCCACAATTTTATAAAATATTTAATAAGTCCTTTTCAAATAATTTATTAATTTCAAAAAGTTTATTTAAATAATTTTAATAAATTTATTTAAATAATTTCTATAATAAATTAATAATATATAATTTCAGTAATAAATCATAATTTTAATAATGAACAATATTTTTAATAATAAATTAATAATTTTAATAAATTTATTTAAATAATTTCTATAATAAATTAATAATATTTTAATTTCAGTAATAAATATATTTTAAAATGACAATAATTTTAATAATAAATTAATAATTTTAACAATAAATAAATTTTAATATTTCTGACATTATTAATGTTTATCACATAATTTTAATTTATAATAATATATTTAAATTAATTTTAATAAATAATAAAAATGTATATTTAAATATTTTTCATTTAATAACTATTTTTAATATTTTTAATTAATAATCATTTTAAATATTTTTAATTAATAATAATTTTAAATATTTTTAATTAATAATAATTTTACTAATAAAATATTTAAGTTATATATTTTAATTTTTTTTTATTTTGTAAAATTCAAAATAATTACAAAAAATATCATTTAATATTTAATAAACCTTTCATAAATAAATTTATTTAAATTAAAAAAATAATTTAATGAGTTGAAGAAAAAAAATTGATCACGTGGAATTGAACCCTAACCTCCAGCATAGAAAGCAGACGATTTACCAATCAAGCTACGAACTCGTTGCGGAAAATTAAAATTTAATTGTATAAAAGCTAAGCATGAATTTCGAAGGCTGATTTCTCCGAATTGACTGGCCATTCGACGGAATTACATTGAGCGGTTAACACCCTAAAGGAGTACTACTATTACACCAAGTCTCGTTCCCAAATGAATTTCCTTAGTCGTGCCCTCCCCTTGTTAGTTAACTAGAGGAATTGGTAACAGTAACAGCAAACCTAAAAGTTTTCTAGTGGGGAGGAAATATATGGAGAGTAAGGTGTCATTCTTGTCTTCTAATCAAGATTCAAAAAGACTGTCCCTAATAGTTCATCCTAATGCTTCAGTGAGATATATTACACACGAATTCAAGAAAATGGAATGTTGCATTTTGCTACGATACGCGGGGGGGGGGAATCAAATAAAGTGCAACCCGGAAATAGTAGGGAGCTTTTTTTTTTACATTGGAGTGAAATTCCTTGCCGTGTGCTTAGGTTTCACGTGAAGTAGATAGGAATAAGATTATAATATACAGCATAAAGAAGAAAATTATTTTAGTTTAATTAAATTTATTGAATAAGATTGTAATTAATTTCATGTTAAACTAATGAGAATATCCTGTACACCAATGCCTGCTATGACCATTGACAGGTAACGCAACGAATGAGGACTGAGATCACAGAGGCCGTTGTACCAACTTAGCACACCGCATTCGACTTGAGATCTCACGGGTGAGTTATAATTATTTTTAGAAATGAATCACACGTTTGAAATTGAGCCCCGCTGACCAGCAAAGACGTGTCTGTAGACGTTCAGAACAACGGCGGCATATTCCGATAATTGGAAGCTATGGTATCAAAAGCCAATTCATTTCAGAGCTGAAGCCCTTTGGTAGTCATCATGACGCCCTGTAGCATGGCAGTGCGTTGGCGAGATTCTAATTTCCGCAGTGTTTCCCATCCTTTCGTTGATCTCTAGGGCTCACATTTCAACAGTATAAAGTCCTGCCTCATGTGGCACGGCTTTTTATGACTGGACATCATGCTTCCCCGCTTAATTCTTCAACGTGATTGCCAGATACCCCAATAAAGAACATTTGGTATCTTATAAGCAAGGATCTACGACTTTTCCCATACCATGCCCTTCTAACTCACTAATACGAGCGTGAAATGCAAGATATACCCCGAAATTGCTTCCATCATTTTTTCGATTCTATAACCAATAGGATAGCAGCTTGCATCAAAGCCAGAGGTAAGTCGATGAGTTAATACTTTTTTTTTTATTATTTATTTGCTTTTTGATAGCAAATATTTTTTCCTAAATAATTGTATAAGAGTAATTTTATTAATTTCAGCGTAAAGTAAACAATTAAACATTTTTACAAAATGAGACTTTTCAAAAAAATATTTTAGAAGCAAAGGTTCAGAAACTATGCATACATTAAAGTCCTCCACTTGAAAAAAAAGAGCTTACTAAATTACAAACTATAAATATATTAAAACTGGTTTGTTTTAATTAATATCTTTTAGCTAATTGCGATATTGGACCGAATTGTTAATCTAAGCCATTCTAGAATCCATTTGAACCCACACAAAAAATTTCATCAAAATCTGTCGAGCCGTTTAGGAGGAGTTTAGTCACATACACACGCGCAGAAGATTTTTTATATATAAAGATTATTTGAAAAGATATTAATTAAAAATGCTGAAAAACATGATTCGTCTGTATTTTTGTAACAATAAAGACCCAGTTTGACTGATAATCGATTTTCGACGCCAACTTACGTCTTTTTTATAACAATAACGTTGTTACAACAATGCAGGTGAATGTTGAGTTGTATATTTTGAAAGTTTTTAATTAACATCTTTTTAACTAATTGCGATATCGGACCGAATTGCAATTCTAAGCCATTCTCAAATTTACTTGAACCCACACAAAAAATTTCATCGAAATCGGTCGAGCCGCTTAGGAGGAGTTTAGTCACATACACACGCACAGAAGATTTTTATGTATAAAGATTTTGCTATATATAAAACTAGACGATGACTTACCCTTAAACTTGTGTACCAAGTTTATTTCGATCTGGAGAAAATTACCGGTAATGAATCATTAAGTGACGGAAACGTCGTACATAATAATCTCACATCAAACATACATTTGAGAATTTTAAATATTATTAAGGGCCTAAAGTAAAAAATTATAGTTATCTCTTGAGCATCTGTTCTGCACAAGTCATTCCTTATCTTTAAAAAAAAACGTATCTGAGCCTTACAAAACCACACCTTTTATAAAATAAAGGATGTGTGTGTTCACTTTTCAAACTCAGATAACAATGCTGTCACAAGATAAAAATGCAGAATTTCAGCTTAAATAACACTATTTGTGAAGGAATTATCTTTGTTCACGAAATATTAAGTAAACATAACTGATTTAACATATACGCTGCAGAAAACGGAATTTTAAATGTATTTTAAATCTATTAACCTATAGTATACCATTTAAATAAGAGAATGAAATCATAGCTTGTGTATGATTATTGTTAAAAAACTTGAGATGGTGGGAAATATGAAAACAACAAACTTGAATAGCATAAACAATACATTTTTAAAATAAAATATTTCTCCCTATCTTTCTAAATGAAATGGTTAATGATTGTCAAAGTCAATTCTGCCTATGTGAGAGGTTAACTAATTATCACTACATTTCAAAAAGATAACTCAAACAATTCTCCCTTACTCTTTTGACCAACCACCAACCAATTTTTCAATAAAAGTGTGTTTCTTAATACCTGAAATGAATGTATCCTAAGTGCATATTTAAATTACTAGTGAAACAACTTCTCTACTAATTTTAACTTAAATTTTGTTAAAATCTACTCATTTTTCTAAAAAAATTAAATATTTGTTTAAAAAGATTATAAAACCAAAACAATTAGCACAGTAGAGTTCCGAAAACTCGGCACCTGTTAACCTGGTAGTCCTGATAACTCGGCCACACCCTTACAGATCAAAAAACCCCAAGTGCAGATATATCTTGTTCAAATTTTCAATCAAATTAATAAAATACTTTCTATTCATCCATTCAAGTTCAAATACATTTTTTTAACTTGAAGTGGATGACACTTGATCTTGATACAGCCTCTTCAAAAAAAATTCATTAATTAAATTAAAAAATGAATAAATAGTAACAAACAAAGATAATAGTCCAAAAGTACATATAGAAAGGAAAATCGTTCGTTGCGTCCCTGTAGCGCAATGGATAGCGTGTTGGACTTCTAATCCAAAGGTCGTAGGTTCGAATCCTAATTTCTGAAAATGTGATTTATTTTTACTGTACTATTTTATTGAAATAATTAAATTAAATTAATGAATAAATAGTAACAAACAAACAAAAATAGTCCAACACCATATGTAGAAAGGAAAATGGAAAATTGCAAGGAAAATCGCTTCCTATTTTGTCACTTAATGTTGTGATTCTGTCATATGTATAAACATATTTTTATATTAATTGTAACTATATTTAAATAAAAGTAACTATATAAAATGAAATTTTTCTTTGTTGACCTAAGTAGGAATTGATTGAAATTTTTTATAATACTTGTTTTAAAAAAGTAACCAGTTTTTGCAAAGTCGGCTACTTAATTTTCATTATATATAGCTTTATGCCTTCATAAAGTATTTTTCTTAGGTGTGTCTGTGATAAGGTAAACTACTGTATACTTTGAATTTATCAATTTTTATTTTCTTCTAGTAAATGATCTTTGCCTTCAAAACGTACGCACTTTTTCTTAATTTAAGGGTATTAGGGCAGTTTATTTTCTGCTGTATTCTCAAGCAAACACTATTGTGCAATATTTTCTGAACAAACACTCGTGCTTGTTCTTAGCTCCATTCTCGATAACCTGGCATTTTCAAAAACTCGCCCCCCCCACATTAGGCCGAGTTTTCGGGACTCCACTGAACATTATACATTACATCAGAAATTTATAAAATGCAATCCTTAGCATTTTAAAAGCAATATGTAAAAGGAAAAAAGTAAAGGTTTTGATTGTTTTATCCAAGATTTATTACAAAATGTTAAAGATTTTGCCAGAATGAGATGATCGACACATTTTTCTTTTATTAACTAAAAATGATATTTCAACATTAGAAATTACGAATCGCTTCAGCAAAAAACTGCACGCGCCCCAATTTATATGTCTTGTGTATCAAAATACTATATATCAAATGTGAGAATGAAGAAAACACGAAACTTATTGAATTATCATCAAGAAAAATGAGGGTAAAAATTGTCTTGTCATGAAATGGAAAGGGAAACAAATATTTTTCGAGGGAAAGAAATTTAACCTTGACGGCCTCGTTATTTATAAACAACTACTGAAATGACTTGACAACGGAATGGAAACAATGTTTCCATATGACGAATGTGTATTATGCCGCAAAGTTTATGCTAATAGTAAACAGTTTTCAATTGCTAATGAGCTTAAAGTAATTGTAAAGGAATATCACAGTATTTTTAAAATTGATCATAACCACTACCTGGGATTTTCAACAAAACACAAAGCCTTTGAGGTTACCAGGAAAAATAGAGGATCAATATCATATTAATTTTCTTTATTTTTCAAATTAGCATATAATTTTATAAGATAGTAATTTTCACTTATGTTTAATATTTTTTTTGTTAAAATACTCATTTATTTTTTGCTTTATTCAAGATTATTGAAAAATAATTGTGATAAATATGTTGTAATATCCTACTTCTTGCTTTTTAACCACAATTAGAATATTTATTTATTTTAAGATTAAAAAACTAATCACATCATCTGCTCTTCGCATAAATAAGGCAGACTATTTGGTTAGTAATTTTCGTGATGAAAGTTATTTACTGGAATATACAAAAATACAACTTAATTAGTAAAACTTAGAATTTCGGTGCCATTTTATTAGCCCTTTTATTAAAAATTAGAATTATATGTATCGTAACCTTACATATTTCACAAACAGAGCTCAAAAAAGCATGCAACAAATAATCGTCAAAAAGAATGAGACTTTCTTAACAACTTTCAAAATTCTGTCGAACTTGATCAGAATTGTATCAAGTATTTATTGCTCAAAGGGAACTATATTTTAAAGTGAATGGATTAATTCATTGATGTAGTTAGGTAACTTCTAAAAAAGCTTTTCTTGCTAAAAATTTCAATTTTTTTTCATGTTGCAGATATATCATCATAAAAAAAAGCATAAGTTTTAAATTTTAATAAGTATTGCAAGAATGTTTTACAGTTACTTATAGTTTGAAAAAGTGGGTCCCCCTAAGATTAAACCAATGTCTCAGAATTTAACAATTAAAAAAATTCTATCCAATACTTTAAAACTTTCGGATGAAAGGACATATATTTTTCTCGATTCCAGAGACATTATAAAAAGTTGGAACAGTAATACTATGATGAAAAATCGAACTTATTAAATGCCCAAGTTCGAAAATAAGATTATTGTGAGCATCACCAAATAATAACACATTTGAATTTTTCATGTCTTGGAACATTTAAATTTAAAATGGTGGTTTCAAGAAATATTCATTTTTGAAATTGTGATCGAAAAGCACAGTCTCAAAAAATAATTTAAAAACCTAATTTGTATCTATATAAACTTCTTTGTTTGTTAATATATGTACTTTTGTGGATAAGAAATGGGAAGAATCAAGAATTATTTATATAGTTGAAGTAATTTAGTAGAATATATAGCCATATAACAATTTTTCTGTAACATCTTTCTAACTAGTGATCAAACTCGAATAAATTTGAAACAAAATTTATTTTTCATTACCTATCTGATTTGCAAAAACTCAGATTCTGTAAGGCGAAAAAAAATTATTAAAAAATTAGAAATTTTAGTAAGGTATTGGTTAATCTATTAATATTCGTTTTATTTTGTTCCCTTTGTATTTCTAACATTGATTCCAGTTTTGTGTTCAGATGCTGTAAAAATTGTGTAATCTGCTAAGAATAACCCATTTTTGTGTAGCTGATTAGAATTCTTGCAATAAAATAATTATTATGTTCAGATAAAATTTATTTCAATTGCTTTCGACCTTTAATGTTCTTTTACCTAAGATAATATTTATAACTTTTTTATGTTGCGATCTCCGCAAATATAATTTCTCCTTCAAATGCTAAAAGATTTTACAAGAAAAAGCATGTTTTTGTAAGCTCATAACTATAATTACTATAAAGTAGGAACCAGTATTTGACAAAATATCATTCATATACGTTACATGAAATTAAAACTCCAAACATTCACAATTTTATTCTATTTTTTTTCTAAAAGGTAGTTAAAGTATATGACCTTTAATTTAAGTTAAAATTCAAAAATAAATAAATTACGTTGTCTTACACAATTTCACTTTAATTACCTTTCAGCAGGACAATAAATTAGAAATTATATTTTTTATTCATTTGAACAGTTTTTAATAAATAAAATACGCTCTTTCAAAACCATAATTATGATACATCTAGCATGTATAGAAAAATTTCTTTTCAAAAGAATAGAACCTTGACTTAGAGCATTTTAAAATAATGAGAGTTTCAAATATTAAAATCATTTCAGGAATATTTAGCTAGATATCTCTATATATTATACTGCATCCTTACAATATAAAATATATTACATGTGTTATAGTTTTAATAATCTCTACTAGAAAGACAGAAATATTTTGAGCACTTAAAGATAAAGGAATCAAACAAATATTGGAAACTTTAATATGTAGAATGTTGCAGTATTATAAACAATGCTGATAGGATAGATTTTAGTAATTTATACAAAAGTAGGGTTTAACAGTTGTGTGTGTGTATATATAAACATATGCTATTTTTTCGTGTTAATAAGTTAATTCAATATGTTTAGCATTATTACAGTAAAGGTATCAAAGTGTATAAAACATGTCTTAATAAAAAAAATGGATTGATTCTAATAAAAATAAATAAGTATACTTATTTCCTACAAATACAGAAATGCCAAAAAAAGTCAATAATATTAGGGAAGCTTTTAATATTACAAAATAGGCCAAGTTTAATTTTTGTTACACACACACACACATATATATATATACAACTTTAAAGCAAGCTTAAGGCTGTCTTCGGTAAAAGTACGAGAACTAAACGCGAAGCACATTTTCAGACAGAAAAAATGCCTCAATTTCCGTGGAAATTTTCAATATTATAACTCTACCTCTGTTAACAATATAGTGTTTTTAAAAATGCCAAAATATTCCACGAATATTTTCTTTTTTGTTATAATACGTGAAAGCATAGCCCATTTAACATTACGGTATAGGATAAAAAAAAGCGAAACACATTTTATACCAGAAAAAAATGAATCAACTCGGTTAAAAACGGAAAATATGATAAAAAATTCTGCTCTCTTAAGGACAGTGAAGTCAGAATATCATATTAATGTTTCACTGAAAAAATGTTCCAAATTCTGGGCTTATTCTTTAACATTAACCGAAGACAGCCTTAAAGAATTGGAATAATCCTAATATGCATTGTGCTCAATAAAAGATTATTCGGTGTGATCACTGGATAAAATAATTGTCTAAAATAAATTCAAAAAACTATGTGATTGGATTCGTTGGTTATAAGACACAGATTTACTCAATAGCGACCAAACAATGTTTAATAAGTTTATGCAGTCTTTGAATAATCATTATCAAAATAAATTAAGTAACTAAATATTTCCCTTAATAAACTCTGATTCTAATTATTAAAGATTATAATAATTAACTACTTGTGAGCTGATTTTGAAGCTGTGGACTAAATAACAGTATTTAATTCAGACAAACCCTCTTTAAATCTCTTCTTTAAAGTTTCTCTGACCACAGTAATGTTTCTAAAACGTCATCTAATTGTTGCTATCCCTCCTCTTTTCCAGTCATTACACTTCTACTTAAATAATAGTACTCATTTTTCATGTACCACGGTTTACTCCCAACACGAAGCTCTCATACCAAACACAATAGTTAAATAGTCCTAGAGGTTTGTTAAAAAAAATTCGCTTGAAAGCCTATTACAATTAATCATTGGAAAAATTTCAATACGTTGAGTGCTAGGAGTTTCAAAAGAAAGTTCAAGTATTTATTTTTTATTGATGAAATGCAGGATAAAGGAATGAGAAAAAGATAAATAAAGGAACTATTTAAAAATTTTGAAATTCTTTTTTGACTGACTACATTATTAGTTTCGATTTCTCTAAAAAAATTCAAAGTAAACTTTTAAAAAAATTTATAAACTTAATTTGAACATAAACTGCTTTTAAAAAT